ATGACAGAGGTGGGTGGTGTGTGTGTGTGTGTGTGTGTGTGTGTGTGTGTGTGTGTGTGTGTGTGTGTGTGTGTGAGAGAGAGAGAGAGAGAGAAAGACCGCATTGCCCCCTTAAGTATGCTGACCCCACTCTAAGTACATTGCCTTTTTAAGTAGATCTGCAAGTTGAGACAGTAGCTGCTGCCACCAAGCTCCCTCCATCCTGAGCCCTGTCGTGTTCCCCACCAACTCTGTGGATAAGATACAGGAGCAGGAGGAGGGGGACACCCTGACATTAGCACACCTCTTTCCCCCACCCCCCTGTACAGCAAGCAGGAGGCTCCCAGGCACAGCTCCAAGGCAGAGGGCAGGAGCGGGAGGAACAGCTGAATTGCTGGCAATTGATAGCCTGCTGGGTGGCTGCAGCACAGGGAATTTAGGGGAGCTAATGGGGAACTGCTGGTCCATCCCGGTTCCAAACCCCCACCAGCCAGCTCCAACAGGCTGCTCTTTCTGCAAGCAGTGGACAAAGCAAGCAGCTGCCAAACAACAGTTATAAGGAGCACTGTGCAATGTTAAACCAGCATGTTCTCTAATTGATCACCAACGTAACAAGGAAACAATGTTAACCGGGACGACATTAAGTGAGGAGTTACTGTATAGGCTCCTTCTTTCCTAATAAACATAAAACCGTCCTTCCTACACCATCCATGCATTGAGACCCTACAGTTCTGCCTGTGTACCTGGCCCTGCGTATGGAACTGGAAGCATTTCAGAGAATGCTACAATGGAGGTCCTGGACTTTTAATTCCCTACCTAGCCGCCAAAATTTGGCCTCCCTCACCTATCTTGCCCTAGGTCACTAGTACCTAGATCTACCACGACCACCAGGTCCTCTGGCTTCTCCCCAGCACTGCATGTAGGTCTGTCTAGATGTCTCAAGAGATCCACAACCTTTGTACCCAGCAGGGAATTTACCATGTGGTTCTCATGGTCAACACAAACCCAGCTAAATACAAAAAAAACAGGAATACTTGTGGCACCTTAGAGACTAACAAATTTATTAGAGCATAAGCTTTCGTGGGCTACAGCCCACTTCTTCGGATGCATATGCACTTGTGGCACATGCATCCGAAGAAGTGGGCTGTAGCCCACGAAAGCTTATGCTCTAATGAATTTGTTAGTCTCTAAGGTGCCATAAGTACTCCTGTTCTTTTTGCGGATACAGACTAACAAGGCTGCTATTCTGAAACCAACTAAATACGTTTCTAATAATTGAATACCCTATTACTATCACCTGTCTCTTCTTAGTAACTGGGGTCCCCTCCCACGGAGAGATGGCCTCATTGTAAGAGGGTATCATGACATCTGGAAGGAGGGTCCCAACTACAGGAGTGAGTGAGTGAGTGAGTGAGTGAGTGTGTGTTTTTATCAGCTAGTATTGACTGGGTTCATTATACATCCAGTAAATGCTAGAACATTTTAGAAAACTCCATTTTAACTTCAGCAGGAAATATCCAGTCAAATCATGATGTTGCATTGGAACATGTCAAGATGACACTACATTAGACAATCCATATTGAAGACAATATTCCAAATGTGGCCAGACACAAAAGCTTTATGTCAGTAAGCCACTGTTGCCTGTTATGTACCATCCCAGCAGCCTTTTATTTTTTCTTCCTGAAAAAATGCCCACAATCCTCATATTATTGCTTACCACCACATCAGGCATCTTTCTTCCACAGTTTCCCTTTTCCCTTTCTGGGCACATTTCCTCAATAATTAAGAAAATACTTCAGAGCAAGTTAGAAATTTTATTTTAGTTTTGTTTTATCATTTTAAACATAAGTGAATTCTTGGCTGCTTCAGATCAACAGAATGACATTACTTTATGCATAGAAGTAATGCACTGTATGTCAGTTACAGACTATACTGGATACTATTTTGGCTACAGCTGCATATGAATATTAAAAATTGTATGGCTCCACATTCATAGGTATGGGTAGATTTTGCTGGTAGTGGAAGATAATTAAAATGAGTATTAATCATGTTGAAACATCCAGTTACAGAGACTGTAATGTTGTTGCTTACACATATGGAGGATAATTTCAGTATTCTGTCCAGCATACACACACACAAGCTTTATTTTAAAGAAAAAACCCACAGCAGTTCACTCATTTTCTTACTTCTGTACCGCAAGTTCTGTGTCAAAGGTGAGGGTAGTTCCAGTGTTGACCACAAATACATATAACTTCATGATGATTTCTGTGTGTTCCTGAAGTTTACACCTTCCTCTTTGGTAGTATCATTTAGAAACTGCAAAGAAACCCAAGCACAGCATATTATTTACAGTTAACTCACTTTTTTAAAGAAAAAACTAGGAAGGTAGCTAAACCTCAAAAACAACTTATTAGATCTTAAATCTTTCAACTGACAACATATTGGAAGGGCCCATGGCGGGTTATGCCAGTCAGTACACCTGCATTGTGGCAGAACTGATGTAATTGCTTCCAAATCATCCCCAGTAGATGATGAGGCACTGTCAGATATTGCCATTTATTATTTCGGACTATTTTGTGGCTACGTGTTTCAGTAGTATGAAATAAAACTATACAATTATTGTATAATGAACATAAAAGTACATCACACAAACCAATATTTGCTTACATCTCTAGTATGTATATTTGTAGTTTATCATCTATAATATATTTTACTCCTGTCCTCTTTCACCACACAAAATCCTTAACAACAAATTTGGACTAGCTACCAATCTTTTGAAGGGCTTTATCTTTGTCCCCAGTTTTTGTCAGTCAGAATTGGTTTGGTCTAAAATCCATTTTAAATATATGGACAGAAAGGTTACGGCAGTAGTTACCACTCTTATTTTTGTTGGTGCTCATCTTACAGTGGATTTGCTGACTGGTGTCCCCAAGTTCCCTCCCCAGTACCCCAGCAATATGACCTGATATAGGGTATGTCTACACAGCAACAGCTGCGCACAGGCTTGCCTACCAGCAATAACAGCAGTAACAACAGTAATGAAGTATGAGTAATACAAGCCTGGCACACACTCTGAGTACATAGTCAGCTCATTAGCCTACACTGAAGCACACACTATACGGTCTTCACTTCTACTGTTACCTGTACTAGCAAGATTCAATTTAGTACGAGGGTAGGTTAACCCAGGCACAATTTTTCCTGGACATACCTATAGTTGACACCTTTTGTCCTTTACAATGACCACTCTCCTTCCTGGTCTATTGTCTGTTCTTGTTTTTGTTTAGTTTTACCTGGTCCCCCTTCTCACTCCTCTAACTACTAGAAGGCTAAATGCTACTTAGAGTTACTCCTGGGGGAATTCTGTGCCAAAACATTAAAAATTTCTGCAACAAAAACTTAAAAATAATGCACACAATATTTTAAAAGTCTGCAAAATTCTGAATATTTTATTTGTCAAAATAACATGCTATAATCACACCAGTTTCAATTATTTTTGGTCATTTATTTCAAATACCTGTCAGCAAGTATGTCTGTAACAATACAGGCAACAAAAAAGATTCAGGAAATGTTTTTTGACAAATAGATTCCTTACGAGGCATATTAATACAGAACTCTGAGATAATAAACTACAATACAGAACCATATTTCCCACACCCCTCAGAAGCAGTGCAAAGGCTTTGGGGAGTCAGAAGTAATGGAGGAGCTGAGGGAAAGGAAAGTAATTGCTGGGTAGAAGCCTGGGTGTGAACTTGGAAGCTTGCTGGATATGGGCGGGAAAAGTATGGAACAGGTTTTTTTGGGGGGTGAGGAGGGATTGTTAGGGAGCTTTCCCCATGCAGACTCTGGCTGACCCCAGCCTTTCCCATTCAGTCTGGCACATCTGTCCCTGTCCCCATGTGTCCCAGCACCCCCCGCAAAAGGCAGAACTACAGCAACTTTCCAGCAAAAGCTTTTTTCTGCACAAAAAAATTAAAAATATGCACATGCAAAGTGGCACAGAATTCCCCCCAGGAGTATTAGAGTGGGAATATGTCCACTGCAATTGAATCCTGGGTCTTTCCATGGACTCAACTCATGCTTCCCTGATCAAACACAGCCATTGAAAAACGAGATGCTTAGAGTTGGAAAGGCAGCAACCTACTATCTCTTTTGCGTCAACAGTGGCCCTTGTTGCCAAGAAAGCTAACAGCATTTTAGGCTGTATAAGTAGGGGCATTGCCAGCAGATCGAGGGACATGATCATTCCCCTCTATTCAACATTGGTGAGGACTCATCTGGAGTACTGTGTCCAGTTTGGGGCCCCACACTACAAGAAGAATGTGGAAAAACTGGAAAGAGTCCAGCGGAGGGCAACAAAAATGATTAGGGGGCTGAAGCACATGAGAGGCTGAGGGAACTGGGATTGTTTAGTCTGCAGAAGAGAAGAATATGGGGGGATTTGATAGCTGCTTTCAACTACATGAAAGGGGGTTCCAAAGAGAATGGATCTAGACTGTTCTCAGTGGTAGCAGATGACAGAACAAGGAGTAATGCTCTCAAGTTGCAGTGGGGGAGGTTTAGGTTGGATATTAGGAAAAACTTTCACTAGGAGGGTGGTGAAGCACTGGAATGGGTTACCTAGGGAGGTGGTGGAATCTCCTTCCTTAGAGGTTTTTAAGTTCAGGCTTGACAAAGCCCTGGCTGGGATGATTTAGTTGGGAATTGGTCCTGCTTTGAGCAGGGGGTTGGACTAGATGACCTCCTGAGGTCCCTTCCAACCCTGATATTCTATGATCTCATATACATTACCGCTCCTGCCACATTAGGGTCACTGACAGAGCAGTAAGAGAAGGCAAGCTTTTTGGGGCAGGGACTATCTTTTTGTTCTGTCTCTGTACAATCACCAGCACAATGGGATCCTGGTCCACAACTAGGGCTTTTAGGCACTACAGTAATACAAATAATAAAAAATAAGGCAATTTGCTTTTGAGCAGCTGCATACCACTTTCTCTGATGCCAGAAAACCACATTTGCAATGTGGATACAGAATACAAGGGATTTATGCCACTTGAACCTCCATACTGTTTCTTTTTCTCTGCTTTGTACAAGGAGGGAACATGTCCCCTCTCAACTCTTCAGGATGAGGAACACTCAGCTGAAGGGAAATATTTCGATCTACAGCATCACCTCCGAGTACTAAATCAGTGGATATGCATATCCACCCTGCAATCACACCACTCTCCTTTTATAGCAGGTAAACTAAGTCAGGCACATAATCCAACATAGCATCTCGTGTACTGGCCCCATGCATCAGAAAAGCAGCAGTTTATGGAGGTTTGTTTTGTTCTAATAAGTAGTTTTTTGCATCCTTCAATGTCTACTTCATGCAGAGCTAGGGTGACCAGACAGCACGTGTGAAAAATCAGGACGGGGGTGGAGGGGTAATAGGAACCTATATAAGAAAAAGCCCCAAATATTGGGACTGTCCCTATAAAATCAGGACATCTGGTCACCCTATGCAGATCAAAAGGTATTGCCTGTTCTTTATGAAGAACAATAATGCACTTAGTTGGCACAGTGTGGCCAATATGACCTGACCTACCTATAGAAAAGAGATTCATGTGTTTAAAGCCTATGGACAATTAAATCCTTCCCCTTCAACACTGGAAAAAAGGCTTAAACACACAACCAAAGTAATATTAACAAGAACAAAATACATGCTGGGAACTTTTGTTTTTGAAAGCTGGATTTGTTATCTTCCTAAACTGTCTCAAAGGTTGTTCTGTTTACAAACTAAGAGTGTTTGAGTTCAAGCAACTACTAGAAGGGATTGCTAATGAATCCTGGGTCTTTCCATAGACTCAACAATTATAAAAACCCTAAGACTATCCTGAAGAGGAACCTTGGTTATTTAATTTGGCAAGTTCAATATCTATTCCTTTTCTTTCCACCCCCCTCCATTCTGAATTAGGTTCTACCGGTGTTACCATTCTACTGGACTATGGCACATGGCATTTTTCAAGTCGGACAACACAGGTTAATAGCCCCAGAACTGTGCACTAGTCTGCTTACCAGATGCTGTACCTACTAGATCTGACAGTAGGAAAGAGGTGAAGTCTATGCCATCTGAGAAGGGGTCCTCGTGTTCCGATGCCGTCTTTCTGACCTCACTCTTGTCCACTGACACACTACCAAAATTCAGGCCCATAATTTTCCACTAAGGCAGATGGAAGCATTAGTATACAAAAGGCTCAGTCATTTTTACTATCACGTTCTCCAATTCTGCACTAGTGAGGAATTAAGGGTATGAATTTTGCTACCATAAATACACTCGGAGAAACCAGAGATCCTCCCAGCTCGAGAAAGGGGAGACAAATTTTGTCAGAGCTGAAAGCAATCACTACTGCCCCACTATCTGAACAAAAATGAGCACTCTTTCCCTCTTTCTTCTCCTGTCTTCTGTTGCATGTTTGCGTTTGGCCCTGGAAAAGCAGAATTTGACAAAACTGAAAGCTTGAGAGCAACCACTTCCAAATTAGTAGCAATTTTGAGCCAGTAAACAGCTGTAGGAGTAATTTCAAACACATTGAAAAAAAAGCTCTTCTGCCGCTGGAGGAATTCTGGAAAGTTAGGTCTTGTCTACCTGGAAGAATTTTACCAGTTATAAGAATATATAACCCCACTTATTGCAGCATAGTAAAGCTTTTTTCAGCTTAGCTTAAATTTCTTTCCAAGTGACATAAGCTAAACCTAAAAAAGCCACTAGTGTATTAGAATAAGTGTGTCCAAACAGAGGGATATGGCAATATAACTATTGATTTAAATTAAAACTTCAGGTTATTCCAAAGCAAAACGTGCTTCCTTTTGTATACTACAGACACTGAAAACAAAATACAAGGAGCAGAAGGAGCCAAACAAAAATGGAAGTGTGGGAAAAGCACCAGACTAAATAGAAATTGAAATGGAGGATGGGGGAGACAAACAAACAAACAAAATAGCTACCAACTCAAAAGACTACCTCTGGAAAAGTTCAGAAAAATCTTCCTTCTAAATTTTGGAGCTGTGCTCTCTCCCCACCTTTTCAAATATACATTATAGGAAATACACAAACTAGTCAAGACCTCTGTTTTCACCTCTGGGGTTCAGAGACTAAACCATTGTTTTTAGGTAGAAAGCAACACAACAATGTTATATACAGATCACCCAATTCTCCCCTCACTTCCACTAATTTAATCCCAGGTAAAACACTGAATTTAGTGCTAATTTACACTGGTGAAAGAGGAGTACAGTCTCAGCAAAACTGTTAGACTGTGGAATGATCTGGTGGAATCTGAAGAATGGACTAGCAATCATTACTATAATTCCAAATCTTAAAAATACAACTTAATTATAAATCAGTGCCCATAAACAAGTTATCACAATAAGTGGTTTTCACCTTGACCATATCTGAATCTCAGTGATGAAGAATATAAAACTGTTTCTATAAATCACACAAACACAAACTTGCTAGACAAAACAGTCAAACAAAGCCCAGCAGGAATTAAGAATGATTTGTTATCCTCTGATGTTTCAGTATGGAAAAAGCTAATAGTGCTAAACATCATCTACTCTCTTAGGATGAAATTCATCTCTATGCAAAGGGCTAGTACAAGGCTTCTTCAACGCTTATGTGGAAGAAAAGTCCTATTTTGCAGATTTAAGTGGCATTCACTTGGTAAGTGGGCCAAAAGCTTTGTGCTGCCCCTGTGCACAGGGGTTAATTTCATCCTCAGAATTCTTTCATAATTCTTAATGATAAAGCTAGTATCGCCATTTTTTATATTTACAAAAAAAAATCATTGCCAAGATCAAACCAAAAATATGCCAATCTAGAGGTTAACTATCACACATCACCATGTAGTAGAATTAACTTAAAAAAAAAATGTTACCAACTTCAAGGGGGAAAAAAGGATTACCTTCAGGAGCTATACAGAGCTACCACCTTCTTTAAAACACAGCAGGATAATAAGGTGCACATTTGCTTCAGTTGATTTTGGCAACAGAATGGCATGACTGTTCAAAACAAGAGTAAAAGACCTGCAAACAAAAGATACAGAATGTAATTAGGAATAGCCATAAAACGTTTGGTTAAAACTGAACAATGAAGACTTTTTATTGCCAGTGCTGCACCTCATAGGAGCAAATTGATGTATCTATGTTATAAAGAACATTTAATTACTCTAATTTTGTGACATTTTGCTTAATGTTTGTTTTAAGTATTACACTTTCAACAAATTTTTTCAGTAACTACAAAAAGAGTTATACTAATTTAAGATTAGTCAATTGGTGTAAAAACAAATATTGTTACATATGCTAGACCTACTTAATTAAACTTGAGACAAAAACGACCACCACATTATAGATACAGAAGGAGCAGAGAACTCAATATCCAGGGGATTCTTCCACAAGGAAGGAAATGGGAAATATTCTAAAGAAACTGAGAACCAGTGGTTAAATTTTAAATATAAAATATGCAAGTGTTTCTTCTAGTAGTACTGCTTTACTACATTATCCTAAAATACTTAAACGGGCACTCTCAGGCTTAAAAAAAAAAAAGAAAAAAAAAGACTACACAGAATAAAAACAGTGTTTTTAAAAATCTAATTCACCTTTACTATTAGTGCTGATTGCTTACCGTTTTCCTTTATAGTAGCATTCCTATGAGCAGAAGAGATATCACAGGTGTGACAGAAAGAGAAGGGAGAGATAGAAAAGGAAGAAGGGAAGGGACAAACACGAAGTGGAAAGACAAAAACAGACCAGGGGCTAGGACCAGATACTGAAGGCACAGCACAGTCACGGCCTAACTTGTATCTTCAAGATCTCATTTATAGAACTCTCCTGATCACAAGATGGGAATTTGTATTACCAGACAAAATACAATAGTTATAAATCATGCCACTCAACTTAATGGCTAAGCTACAATTTAAACATAACACTGGCTATACCAGACAGAAAACAGAAAAACATGAATACAAAAAACACAAAAAGAAAAAGCTACCCAAATCAATACAAGTAAAAGAATACAGCATCTAAAAGAAAAAAAAAAATCTAACAAATTAACCAAGTTATATTTAGATCTCCTGCAAAACATTTTCACTATTTTGTGTGGTGAATTTGCAGTCAAAGTCCAATTATTAAATATGTTTAGCTTCTCAAAATATTACAAGATGCAGATTATTTTTTCATTTAGTGGCAACTCTGAAAAGCTGAGACAATTTTAGAGATGATTAATGAAATGCAGTTAACTGTTTTGTCACACAGAGTTCTTTAAAGCTTATTAATTTCATTTAGCACATTTGGAAAGTTAATTGACTTAGCTCAACATTGCTTATTGAAAACAAAAACAAAACCACCCAACCAACCAGTGCTTAAATTTGTAATGAAAAAGGCGCGGGGGCTCAAGCAATTTGTTTACATTCATAACTGATGCAGCAAGCCCAGAGTTGCCGGGGCTATGAACTACCAAGCCTAGAGGTGCCAGGGCTCAGTCCTGGCAAAAATTAAACACTGCACCTAATCAACAAAACCCTCTTTTGCATCCATAAAAACTGGCCGATGTAAAAGCTTCCTTACAGGCATACAATACCAACTTTTTTGTAACAACTCTATAACACTATGGCTTTCATAGCATTCCAAGCTTGATTTAACATGTAAATGGTACTGAAGTAACTTTTTGGTTCATTTGTGCTATATGTGCAGAATCTCCATGTTCCATTGTCTTGATTTTGCCTGAACCATCCTTTCAGACTACAAATCATTGCCAGGCTCATGAGTTGAAACTGGATTACTGCCCTTCTGGATAATGGAGAGAGAAACAAATACCAAATTATGCTTTGTTGACTGCTAAAGGCTCCTAGTCCACCAACATTTGAATTTCAAACTCTGTAGGGAGTAAGCGTGTTTAAATACAACTATTTACAGTGGATTATTATTAGTTTTAAGGTCTTTAGGAGCTTTTTAAAAATATATTTAAGCTAAAACTCAAGTTGTCAGAGCTCCTTTAAGGTTGAGATTTTAATTTACAAGTGTCATTAAATTTAAAGTTAGATGTTGCCATAGAAACTTTAACTCTTCTTTTGTACTTATCCACTTCAGGGTGGATAAAAATTGATTAAAAACAGATTAATTTATTTTTTATTTAAGTTAAATACAGGGTTTTTAAAATAAAGCTATTTTAAAATATTAAATTATGACAATCTATGTTATTGTCTAAATTTACTGTAATCTATTGCAATCTTTTTAATTCATTTATTAAAAAATTAAGCAGTACATGTTTGCTGCTAAGTTTTAAAAGGAGCACAGGATCTGGTGCAAGAAGTGGAATATAGCTGAACCGGTTGGTAATAGTAACCATACTATAATTTAATTGAATAGCCTTATGGTGGTGGTGGTGGGGGGGGAAACGACACCAAGGAAGTCCAACACAGTAGCAATGAACTTCAGAAAGGGGCACTACACAAAAATGAGAAAGCTAGGTGATCCCGTGGATATAGCATACTTGGACTTTTAGAAAAACTTTGACAAGGCCTCTCATCAAAGGCTCTTAAGCAAATCAAGCAATCATGGGATTAGAGAGATGGATCAGTAACTGGTTAAGAGATAGGAAACAAACGATACATAAGAACGGCCATACTGGGTCAGATCAAAGGTCCATCTAGCCCAGTATCATATCTTCCAACAGTGGTCAATGCCAGGTGCCCCCAAAGGGAATGAACAGAACAGGTAATCATCAAGTGATCCATCCCCTGTTGCTCATTCCCAGCTTCTGGCAAACAGAGGCTAGGGACAGCATCCCTGCCCATCCTGTTTAATAGCCATTGATGAACCTATACTCCTTGAACTTATCTAGTTCTTTTTTTAACCCTGTTACAGTCTGGCCTTCACAACATCCTCTGGCAAGGGTAGGAATAAATGGTCAGTTTTCAGAACAGAGATAGGTAAAAAGTGGTGGTATCCCCCATGGATCTGTACTAGATCCAGTGCTGGTCAACATACTCATAAATGATCTCGAAAAGGGGATTAAAACAGTGCAGTGCAAAGTGTTCAGGTGGTACAAAATTACTCAAGATAGTTAAGGTCAACGCACACTGTGAAGATTAAAGGGATCTCACTAAACTGGGTGACTGGGCAACAAAATGGCAAATGAAATTCAATACTGATAAATGCAATGTAATGCACATTGGAAAACAATTCCAACTGTACATACAAAATTATAGGATCTAAATTAGCTTTTACAACTCAAGAAAGAGATCTTGGAGTTTTTGTGGATAATTCCTTTTCTCTTCAATCTTCTCTTCATGGAGTCTTTGTACCCTTGGTCTTCCACATCTTCTCTTACTACCCTCTTCCTCCCATGCTTTCTTTGCTGATCATTCTTCTCCCACTCTTATTATACATCCAGCCCACCTCAAACATGTGCTCTTCAGCCTGTCAATCACCTAGAACCCCAAGTTCACCTTCCTTTTAATTTCTTCCATGCAATCTGTCTACCTTCCACTTGACTACCATTCTCCTCAGTTTTACGACCTGCATCTTTTCTTCCATCTCCATAAGACCCACTGTTTACAAACCACAGAGCAGGCAGGGACAAAAACGTAATATAATAGTGGTGACCAAACTCTGGCTCACAAACCACATGTGGCTCTTTTACCATTAAAGTTCGGCTCGCAAGCCCATTCTCCAAATATCAGACTGGGGTGGGGAGAGCTTGGGACCTCTGCTTTGCAGTGGGATGGTTGGGTAGGAGCTTCTGTCCAGTGGGGAGGAAGGTCTCGGAGCTTCAGCCCTACGAGGCGCACCTGCCGAGGCATGGGGCTTCAGCAGGAGTGAGGCTGAAGCCCCAAGCCCCAGCTCCCCTCAGTAGTGTATTCCGGCTCTCGAACTTCTGAAGATTATCTTATGTGGCTCGGAATTTAGCCACTAATTTGGCCACCCCTTCAATATAAGCTTCTCCTTTCAATGTGTTACTTTAATTGCTGGTTCCACAGTACTCCTGACACCTTTTTTTACAGCTGCTGATGCACACTTGGTTCTTCTTTTCAATTCCCAGATCTCTCTGCAATGGCACTAAGTGTACCGCCCAAGTACACAAATTCTTTCGTCAGACTCAGCATCTCTCCAGAAACATCAACCAACAGCTCTTCTTCCACCTTTATTAGTTTCATAACTTCACTTTTCTGTGTGTTATCTTCCAACTATGGTCTTCAAATGCAGATGTCCACTCTGATAATTACCAATTACTCTTTGCTGTCAATCAAAAGGATCAGATTATAAATCTGATGAATATCAATGTTTATTTTTAAGTTTTTTTCAATTTTTATCTATTTAAATTTTGACTGTTGAGGGAGTGTCAATGATGGGGGAGTGTCAATTATTTAATGACAGTAGATGTTGAGATTCAAAACATTAATGCTTTATAACCATTAAAACACAAGTGGTCAGCATCCCATGTCAAAATATGAGATGTATAAATCCTTAAACTCTAATAAGTTCTAAAGCACCATTTTTCTTAATTTGCCTAGCCATACACATTGATTACCATAAATGGAAATATTTTTCATCAGAGTGTGCAGAACTTGAAATCAACATTTACCGACAAAAATCTTCCAAGCCTAAATATATGAAGGTATATGCGGTTTTATAAAATACCACATTGTGTGTTACTTAACAAAAGCCACCTTAATGGCACAGGGTACACCATTCAGACTTTAGTCCACAAAAGTAAGGGGATCAGGTTTGTTTAATGTTCCAAGACAATCCTCTCTCTGTGCTTCCGGTACTATAAGAATTTTTCTGCTGTCTGTTTAACCTGCTGGCAACCTGGCTTATCTGTAAGTAGTTTTCTTTCATAGAAGAAAGTTTAATTTTTTCTTTCCCTTTTGTTATAAAATTGATGGGGCCTTTAGGTACTTCAGCCAGTTATTTCCCTCCTTTTCAAAATAAGTTTCCCTCCCCACCTGCTGAATGCATGCACCCTCTCCCCAAATGGCTAAATTCCAATTTGCCATTTCTCTTAAAGTACTGGTGTCAGAGAA